TGATTTGGACAATACTAGCTGGAAGACCTTATTCCAGAATTTCTGCAGCTTTTTCTAAAAAGGCAACATACAACTCTTGAAAATTTTGTTCGATACAGGCGCGCTTGACGACCAAATATTGCGAAAACCGTTAGATATAATATAATCATTTATAACATCAATCACATTAATTTTAATTAGGTAGGAAGGGATTTGAACCCTTATAACAAAAGTCGTCACATTTTGAGTGTGATGCGTCTACCAGTTTCGCCACCTACCCAGTAACTTAAATCTTATAAAAAACTACTTATGACTAATCTATATTATTATACAATATCAAAGATCTACTTGGTATCGCCTTGGATATATCTTTGTAAATTATCTCTTGTTACAAAAAGGATTATTATTTGTGTCATGATTATTTGTTTTAATCTAAATTTTAATATATTTTTGAGTCTTTATATCTTTATAATTAGTACATGTATATTATTAAGCTTTATTCTAGAATTTAAAACTAAACTTTTGATAAATAAAATTCTTTTTATTTATAAAATGAAATCACTGTATCTTCTTTTATTAATAAGTATATCATTAAATATATTTATCTTGAAAATATTATCACCAATTAATTTAGAATTAATATATAAAACAATATTAGAAAATTATTTTTTGTATAAATTTATTGTATTTTTGGCAATAAACTTTTATCTTATTAATTATTTATTACTAAGTACTAGTACTTATGAAATAAATAATTTAATTCTTAGCCCGATCATTAAGTATATTATATTACTAACCAAATTATCTAAAAAAGAAATTAAATATTCAAGTTTTATTAGTGAAAGATTTTTAAATATATTTTATGAAAATTTTAGATATTCTACTTATTTAGTTAAATTGAAAAAATTTAACATCTATGAAGAGTCAAATAAATCAATATATTCATCCAATTCTTACTTATGGCTTGTTTATAAGCTAATTATTATTAATTTAAAAAAAAGTATTTATAGTGTAAATAGAATATCCTTTAATTTAAAATCCAAATTTTATTTAAATTAAAAAACTACAAATTAAATTTATACACTAAGCCATATGACTCATTATATATGAAATTATTTATATTTTCAAATAACATTAATAGAAAAATAGATTAATAATAGTATATATTATTTAAGCTTAAATTAAGTATGAACCAATCATTAGATGCTACAACGCTAAAATTAGAGCAAATTATTAACAAGTCATACAAATATGGATTCAGTACTAAAATACAAAATGAGGATTTCCCTAAAGGAATCAATGAAGAGATCGTTACTTTAATTTCAAAAAAAAAAAATGAACCTAAATATATGCTAGATTTTAGACTAAAAGCATATAAAAAATGGAAACAAATGTATGTTCCTAAATGGCAATATCTAAAATTTGAACAAATCAATTACCAAAACATACTCTATTATTCTGTACCTAAACAACAAAAAAAGCTACAAAGTTTAAATGAAGTAGATCCAGAATTGCTTAAAACTTTTGAAAAATTAGGGATTCCTTTAAATGAACAAAAAAGATTAACTAATGTAGCTGTAGATGCAGTATTTGACAGTGTATCAATTGGAACAACTTTTAAACAAGAATTAGCGGATCAAGGTATAATTTTTTGCTCGATTTCGGAAGCTATTCAGAAATATCCTTCTCTAATTCAAAAATATTTAGGTTCTGTAGTACCGATTGGTGATAATTATTTTGCAGCACTTAATTCTGCGGTTTTTACTGATGGTTCTTTTTGTTATATTCCTCCCGATACAATTTGTCCATTAGAATTATCAACCTATTTCAGAATAAATAATGAAGAATCTGGTCAATTTGAAAGGACACTTATTATAGCAGATCGAAACAGCTATGTAAGCTATCTTGAAGGATGTACAGCACCACAATACAAAAAAAATCAACTTCATGCTGCAGTTGTCGAGATTATTGCTTTAGAGAATTCAGAAGTTAAATATTCTACAGTACAAAATTGGTATAGTGGAGATGAAAATGGAAACGGAGGAATTTATAATTTTGTTACCAAAAGGGGATTATGCGCAGAAAGAAATTCAAAAATTTCATGGACTCAAGTAGAAACAGGTTCTGCTATTACTTGGAAATATCCTAGCTGTATTCTAGTCGGAAATTATTCTAAAGGAGAGTTTTATTCTGTGGCACTAACAAATCATTATCAACAAGCTGATACAGGCAGTAAAATGATTCATATTGGAAAAAATAGTAAAAGTAAAATAATTTCAAAAGGAATTTCAACAGGCAAATCAATAAATAGTTATAGAGGGAAAGTAAAAATATCATCAAATGCCTCTAAAGCACGAAATTATTCTCAATGTGATTCCCTATTAATAGGTAACAGTTCAGAAGCTAATACATTCCCTTACATAGAAGTTCATAATAGATCTTCCATAATAGAGCATGAGGCTTCTATTTCAAAAATTAATGAGGAAAAACTTTTTTATTTTATGCAAAGAGGCATATCGATAGAAGAAGCAATTTCATTGATAGTCAGTGGATTTTGTAAGGAAGTTTTCACTGAACTGCCATTAGAATTTGCTTTAGAAGCTGATAAATTGTTAGGTCTAAAACTAGAAGGAAGTGTAGGATGACGCATAATAGTTTATTACAAATAAAAAACTTACATGTTAAATTAGCAAATACTGAAGAATATATTCTAAATGGTATTAATCTTAATGTTAAACAAGGTGAAATACATGCTATAATGGGGCCCAATGGCTCAGGTAAGAGTACTTTATCTAAGGTAATAGCTGGACACAGTTTATATAAAATTGTTAAAGGTGAAATTATATTTCAAGAGCAAAATTTATTAGATTATACTATAGAAGATAGAGCTAATTTAGGTATATTCTTAGCTTTTCAATATCCGTTAGAAATATCAGGAGTTAATAATATCGATTTTCTTCGTCTTGCTTATAATTCAAAGCTTAAATTTAATCAAACAAGTACAGTTGATCCCTTGAAATTCTTAGAGATTGTCTATCCAAAATTAAAGCTAGTTGGTCTTGATGAAAGCTTCTTACATAGAAAAGTAAATGAAGGATTTTCTGGAGGGGAGAAAAAAAAGAATGAAATACTTCAAATGGCATTACTAGATGCTAAACTAGCTATTTTAGATGAAACAGATTCAGGACTAGATATAGATGCTTTAAAAGATATTTCAAACGCTATTAAAAGTATTTTGAAAATAAGCCAATTTAAACAATCAATTATAATAATTACTCATTATCAGAGGATTCTAAATTATATTCAACCAGACTATATTCACGTAATGTATAAAGGCAAGATAATTAAAACAGGTGATGCAAGCCTAGCAAGTGAATTAGAATCTAAAGGTTATGAATGGATAACTAGTGAATAATAAATAAAATTAAAAGAAGAAATAAAATCTTTGTAAGGATACTCTTACAAAGATTTTATTTCTTCTTTTAATTTTATTTATTATTCATTAGTTAAAAAAGTAGCTTTTGTCTCTTGAATTGATTGTTTTAGGATGTCTTCAGCCTCTGAAACTAGTTGTTTATTAATTTTAATAAGTTCAATAAATTTTGATTTAGAATTGACAATATACTCTCTTAAGGCTTTAATAAAAGAACTTACTTTATGTAATGGAATTTCATCTAGATAGCCGTTAATTCCACTATAAATAATAGCTATTTGTTCCTCTACTGGAATTGGAGAATTTTGAGATTGTTTTAGCATTTCTCTTAATCTTTGTCCTCGAGCAAGTTGATTTTGTGTTGCTTTATCTAAATCAGAAGCAAATTGAGAAAAAGCTTCTAATTCAGCAAATTGTGCCAATTCTAATTTTAACTTACCAGCTACTTGTTTCATAGCTTTGATTTGTGCAGAAGAGCCTACTCTAGAGACGGATATACCAACATTAATAGCAGGCCTAATTCCTGAATTAAATAAATCACTAGATAAAAAAATCTGACCATCAGTAATTGAAATTACATTAGTAGGAATATATGCTGAGACATCTCCTGCTTGTGTTTCTATAATAGGTAAAGCCGTCATACTTCCCCCGCCTAATTTTTGATTTAACTTTGCCGCACGTTCTAAGAGTCTAGAATGCAAATAAAACACATCGCCTGGATAAGCTTCTCTTCCTGGAGGTCTACGCAATAATAGAGACATTTGTCTATATGCCTGTGCTTGTTTAGTTAAGTCATCATAAATTACTAAAGTTGCCCTTCCTTTATACATAAAGTATTCAGCTAAGCTAGCAGCAGTATAAGGTGCAATATACTGTAGAGTTGCTGGTTCATCTGCATTAGCAGCAACTATTATAGTATAGCCTAATGCCCCTTTTTCTTCGAGAGTTGATACAACTTGCGCTACAGAAGAAGCTTTTTGTCCTATCGCAGCATAAATACAAATGACATCTTGATCTTTTTGATTAATAATTGTATCTAAAGCAATTGAAGTTTTACCTGTTTGTCTATCGCCAATTATAAGTTCACGTTGTCCTCTCCCAATAGGAATCATAGCGTCAATTGCTGTTATACCAGTTTGCAATGGTTCACAAACTGATTGGCGCACAATTATACCTGGTGCTAACATTTCAATCAATCTATTTTCAGAGCATATAGGTTCAACTTTACCATCAATTGATTTGCCTAAAGCATTTACTACTCTTCCTAAAAATTCTTCTCCAACAGGTATTTGTGCAATTTTTCCTGTAGATTTAACTGGGCTCCCTTCTAATATATTAGAGCCTTCTCCCATTAATACTACACCAACATTATCATTTTCTAAATTTAATGCTATTCCTACAGTCTTGTCCTCAAATTCTAACAATTCTCCAGCCATAACTTCCTCTAATCCATAAACCCTAGCAATGCCATCTCCAACTTGAAGAACAGTACCAACAGCTGATAAACGAATATCTGTTTCATATTTTTCAATCTGTTCTTTAATAATTGTACTTATTTCATCAGGTCTAATATTTACCATATAAATTTAACCTATGATTTTATTGTTTGTATAATACTNATTTATTCCTAAATATAAGGCGAATTTTTCAATTTGTCCCCTTAAACTTAAATCTATTAAATTGGATCCAAATCTAATAATTAAACCACCAATCAGACTTGGATCGATTTTCAATTTAAGTTCAATGTAACTAGCTTTAGTTATTTCCTTTAATTTATTAATTAAATACTGTTGTTGTTGTTCTGTTAATGAAATTACTGACGAGATTTCAACTATACTAGTACTTGTAGCTTTATTCCAAATTATAATAAATTGATCAACAATATCATAAAAGTATATCATTCTTCTTCGTTCAATTAATATTAATAAAAAATTTAAAGTTATCTTATCAAGATTTTTATTAAAAATAATTTTAATAGCGTTTTTTTTTATTTGTTGATCAATTAGAGGATTAACTAAAAAATAATAAAATTCAGGCATTTTTTTTAAAAGAGTTTTAATTGAATTCAATTGTTCATTGATTTCAGTTAATGAATTTTTAGTTTTAGCTATTTCAAATAAACCTTCTGCATAAACTTTAGCTATTTTGTAATTATTATGCATTATTTGTTCCTTATCGTTAACATTGCTAGACTCTGATCAATAATTTTTTGTTGGAGATTGTTATCTAATTCATCTTTTAATTTACTTTGTACCTTTTGTAAGGCTAGAGCAGCAATTTGCTGCTTAATTTGTTTTTTGATTTGTAATTCTGTATTATAAATATAATTCTTAGTATTTAATAATAGTCTCTCTATATCAGTCTTACCTTGTTTTAAAATTGACTCTTTAACAGAGGATGCAGTATTTTTAGCTTCTTGTTTTATTTGATTTATTATAATTTGTGCAGAACTTAATTGATTTTTCGCTTCACTAAGTCTTATAGTTGATTTTTCTAAACGTTCTTCTGATTCTCGGATAGATGTAATTACTCTATTTTGTCTATTTATAAGAATACTGCCCAGAAATTTTCTTCCCAGATATATTAACATAATAATTAATATAAAGATATTAATTATATTAGTTTCTAATAAATCGAAATTTATCTTTATTGAATATTTCGAAATCTCATAACCTAAAACATCAAAGAACATATTCACTATTATCCTAACCTTTTTTAATATATGTACTAATTAATTTATTTTTTATTTGCTCGCTTATTTGTTCAACTTGCTTTTCAAGGCTATATATAGCTTTATTTTTCTCTTTTTCAAATTGCATCATTGAAGAGTGAATTAAGTCTTGAGCTTCTTTTTGGGCTTGATGAATTTGAGCATTAACAAATTCTTGAGCTTCATTTTGACTTGTTGTAACCATTTTAATAGCTTCTTTACGCGCAGCTATTAGTTCTAATTCATAACTCTTAGCAAGCTCATTTGCTTCATCAAGGTATATTGAAGCTTTATTTAAATTTTCTCTAATGTATTCTTCTCTAGAATCAATTACTTGAATAATTGGTTGATAATAAATTAGATTTAACACAATTATTAAAAGTAAAAATTCTAGAGCAATAAATGGTAAAGTAGCATCAAAATCAAATAAACCACCTTCAGCTAAAAGACTAAATGAATTTATATATAGCATGATTCTATGATTAATTAAATTATTTAGTAATAATGATTAATAATATATTAATATTATACACAATGATAAATCAATAGGATATAAAACGCTTAACTTTTGAATTAAAAGTTAAGCGTTTTATATCCTATTGATTTATAAAAGGATTAGCAAATAATAAAGATAAAGCTACAACTAATCCATAAATAGTTAATGCTTCCATGAATGCAAGACTTAATAATAAAGTTCCACGAATTTTTCCCTCAGCTTCAGGTTGTCTAGCAATTCCCTCAACTGCTTGAGCAGATGCAGTTCCTTGTCCAATACCAGGCCCTATAGCAGCTAAACCTACAGCTAAGCCAGCTGCTATTACCGATGCGGCAGAAATAATAGAATCCATAGTATTTATATTACCATATTTAATTATCAAGCAATAAACAAATTTCGTTAACCACTTATATAAGTTTAATTATATGTATCTTTATAATTTAATGTTCTTCAATCGCTTCACCAATATATGCAGCGGCTAAGGTTGCAAAAATTAAAGCCTGAATTGAGCTAGCAAATAAGCCTAGCATCATAACAGGTAGAGGAACAATTAAAGGAACTAATAAAGTTAAAACAGAAACAACTAACTCATCTGCTAAGATATTACCAAATAAACGAAAACTTAGAGACAAAGGTTTGGTAAAATCTTCCAAAATATTAATTGGTAATAATATTGGTGTAGGTTTTATATAGCGAGAAAAATAACGTAATCCCCTTTTACTAATCCCTGCATAAAAATAAGCAAGAGAAGTTAGTAAGGCTAAAGCTACTGTCGTATTAATATCATTAGTTGGTGCTGAAAGTTCTCCTTCCGGAAGTATTATTATTTTCCATGGAATCAAAGCACCGGACCAATTAGAAACAAAAATGAATAAAAATAATGTTCCAATAAAAGGTATCCAGTCACGATAGTAGTGTTCACCAATTTGACTTTTAGTTATATCTTGAATGAACTCTAAAACATATTCAAGAAAATTCTGTAAACCTCTAGGAGTTTGTGACATTTTATTAGTTCCCAATACAGAAAAAACAATTAAAATAAAAATGACAAAAAATGACACAATAAAAACTTGAGCATGTAACTTAAAAGCTCCTAGAGTCAAATAAAAATGTTCTCCAACCTTAACTGATGATATTAGCATATTCACGTAATATATAAAATCTTATAATATAAATTCAAGAATACTTACTTATAGTAGTATAGCAAAGATTTTTAAGGAAAATCAAATTTAATTACCTAATATATACTTTATAAATCTGCGGATTTTTATATTTTCATTAAAATATGATATTTTCAATTTTACTAAAGTCTCAATATTTATTGATTGATCACGCATATAAGGTTGGTCATATAAAACTAGAAGTTCTAAATTTTTTCTTATTCTTCCTTCTATAATTGTTTGTTTAATATGTTCTGGTTTATTTTTTAAATCTTCTCTCATTGATTCAATTTTTTTTTCTTTTTCTATAATTTCAGAAGGAATATCACTAAATGTAATATATTCAACACTAGGAGAAGCTGCAATTTGCATAGCTATATCTTTAGCAAAATCTTTAAATTCATTTCTTCTAGCTACAAAATCTGTTTCACAATTGACTTCCACTAATACACCTATTTTATAGCCTGTATGAATATAACTTACAATGATTCCTTCTGTAACAACTTTACTAGCCTTTTTGTCTGCAGAAGCTAAACCCTTCTTTCTCAAAGTTTCTATTGCCTTAGATTTGTCTCCATTAGAATCTTTTAAGGCTTTTTTACAATCCATCATGCCTGCGCCTGTAATTTTCACGAACTAACTAATTGAGCAGAAATTTCTAACATTTTATTTTCCTTTTTTATATACTGTTAATAGAAAATGTTAACTATTTTTACTTAATTCTCTTTCTTTCTGACCTTCTTTAATAAAATCAACTAGTTTACCTACTATTAATCTAACTGAACAAATAGCATCATCATTAGCTGGGATAGGCAAATCAACTATATCTGGATTACAATTCGTATCTACAATGCAAATAGTAGGAATATTAAGTTTGTTACATTCTTGTACAGCAGTTAAATCTTTTCTCTGATCTGTAATAATTACTACATCAGGCAAAGTATTCATTTGCCTAATGCCATTGAAATACCTACGTAGTTTATCTAATTCTTTCTTTAAGCGTGACGACTCTTTTTTAGGTAAACTCTTAAAAAAGCCTTCTTCTTCTTTTTTTTCTAGGTCTTCTAAAGCTTGTACTCTACTTTTTATTGTGACCCAATTAGTTAGTAATCCTCCTAACCATCTTTGATTTATATAAAAGGAGTTACATCTTTGTGCTTCTTCAGCAAGAATTGTATTTAATTCTTGTCTTGTTCCAACAAATAAAAATTGCTTTCCTTGTTTTGCTAAAATTTTTACATAATCACATGCTGAGCCTAAGAAAAATGCTGTTTGGACTAAATCTATGATATGAATTTTATTCCGCTCTGCATAAATAAAGCTTACCATTTTAGGGTTCCATTTATTAAACCTATGACCTAGATGAACCCTAGCTTCTAAAAGCTCTGATAATGTAACAATGGATGTTGTCATAATATTTTAAATCCTTTTTTAGATTTTTAATTCATAATTAATTCAATTTCTTATTCTTTTCTAGTTTATTAGTTAATAATTTATATATGATATTATCTTCAAAATTATATGGATTTATAGAAATAATATTTTGTTCAGAATTTTTTTTTGTATATTCATATAAGTAAAATTGTTTAAACCCAGTACCTGCAGGAATTAAACGACCAATAATTACGTTCTCCTTTAATGCCTTTAGCCAATCTATATGATTTTCAAAAGCTGCTTTGGTTAATACACGTCTAGTTTCTTGAAAGCTTGCAGCAGAAATAAAACTTTTAGTAGTTAATGAGGCTTTAGTTATTCCTAATAAAATTGGTTTATAATCAAAAGATAAAACTTCTTCATTTTCTCTTTCTTTCAATTGCACATATAGCTCATCTTCACTATATTCTTTATTAAATTCTCTTTTCTCTTCTTCTTTTCTCTTCTTCTTCTCCCTTCTTTTTTTTACTTCTTTTTTAAATTGTAATTTCTCTAGTAAATTAATACCTAGATTCATAGATTTTATTTGTGCTAAATTTATCAATTCTCCAGTATATATTTCATCCATTTCACAACTTGTCATTTCTACTTTTGAAGTCATTTTACGGATAATTACTTCAATATGTTTATCAGAGATGTCAGCACCTTGCGATTGATAAACATATTGAATTTCATTAATTAAACTATTTTGTATTTTCCTAAAACTTAATTCTACGCATATGTCTCTTTGTTGAGGCAAATAACCTACAACATGTTTTATAAAAAACTCAAAATATAAATCTAATAGTAGATGAGTGTTATAAGAACCATCTATTATTGAATCTGCTAAGTTTACATAACTCATGTACGCTAATTGTAACTTATCTACCTCTGAATCTAATAAGTTTTGCCGAGTAAGAGCTTTTAAGTTGTTATAATCAAAAATCCATAATATATTTTTTAATTCCTCAAAGTATAAATGACCACAATCTTTAGATAATAGAATTTGTTCCTTCACTCTTCTCGCCTCTAAAATTTCTTCCACTTTAGGTAATCCTTGTACTATATCAGCAGTTTTAAACCTTTCATAGGACAAAACTGCAATAGTATCTCCTTTCTGAATAAAATCTTGATTTTTTATAAGTAAAACCGTTCCAATAGAGATTAAATAGACTTTCCCTTTGCGCACAATGATAGAATTATTATTACATTCCAGAACTTGTCCAGATTCTTTTGCTATAACATTATCACTTATATAATCCCCAGCTTTAATCCAATCTCCTTTTTTTACATTCCATTTAGTCGAATTATTAATATAAGATTTTTTATCTTTTTCAGTTAAAATTAATATTCTATGTATTTTATCTGTTTTAATGTTTAAAACTTGACCATCTTCTTTACATAAAATATCTGTTTGAGCAATTATATCAGATGCATTTAATATTTGTTTTAGATCTACTAGAATTTTTGTTGAAGTTAAATTTTTATTAGATTTGATAGAATTTTGTTTTTTTAGACTAATATGCTCTAAAAATACTATTTCTAGTTTATTAATTTTTCCGATTTTATTTTTAATAAGTTCAAAATTTATTTTAAAATATGAGAAATTAGATTGTAATTTACATATCCATATGTTTTTAACTAAATTTATTCCAGTTAATGATTTTATTCTTTGTCCATCTTTATATCTTAAGTAAATCTTATTAAAAATTAATAAAGAAGTAATTTCTTGTGAAAATCTTTGAATACTAAAGAAATTTTCAGTGTTTTTTTTGATCTCATATGGATAAGCATGTCTAATCAATAAGTAATTTGTTGATGAATATTCATAAATTTCGATAAAAGCTATGTCAATATGTTTTATATTAAAAATTTGAAATAAAAAATTATCCTTGTATATAATTTGTTTATTTTGCTTTTTTATTATTTTAACCAATTTATCATCTTTAATTGGATAAAGAGTGCCTATTTTTAGAATAACTTCTTTAACCATATTATGTTTTTTTATAATCTCGATAATCCCATCATAAGGGGCTGAGATTTGATCAGTTATTAAATGAGATGACTTTATAAATTCTCCATTTTTTACTTTCAGCAATGAATGATCTATATTTAGCTCATATGTAATTTCAGGAATCCAAAACAAAGTCCCTTCTTCTAGCAATTCATATCCCTCATTATCTTTTATACGTTTTGAAGTTTTAATCGTATCATATTTTATAATTCCACCCGTTTCAGTACGATATTTATCAAGAATTTCTTCCCCAAAAATTTCAAATCTATTATTATAGATATAATTACCAGGATTAGTTTTAAGAATAAATTTTCTATTATTTACTGTTTGAAAAATATACTGTTCATTAATATTAGATTTATCAACATATAATGTTTCAATTCCATCATAAAGAATTGAAGCATGAGCTAATTCAGCATTTATATCTTCTTCAAATTGACTATTATATAACTTATGAAGTTTACCTCCAAATTGACTAACTAATTCAAGTGTGGCTAAGCTTTGTCCTTTATGTATATATTCAGCTTTATGTACGTTAATTTTAGAATCTAAAGGTAAATTATATATTTCTCCTGCTAAAATGCAAATTGTTCCATCATTTCTAGTTATTCTTTTTATATATTCATTCTTGTCTTGATTTAAATCTATTTTTTCTTCAACAATAAGATTACTAAAATACACTTCACCTGAGAGATCAGTAATAACTCTCTTATTAGCATTTTCTGTAATTAGACGGCTACTTAATGGAAATTCTGCAATTAAATCATTTTTTTTTACTAATTGATTAGAAGTTACAAATAAGATAACACCTGGTTTGAGCTCAAATGATTCTTTTACATTACTATCACTTTGAATTGTTATAGTTACATTGTCTTCAATTAATAAAGCCTTGTCACCATATCTTGTTCTAGTTAATGAAGTCTTCTTTAGGCCGAATGGTAAAATTCTACCTTCAAAAGGTGCTCTAATTTGTTTTGCTAATTGTCCAGTAAAAACCCCTCCCGTATGAAAAGTTCGCATAGTTAATTGCGTTCCAGGCTCCCCAATAGACTGAGCTGCAATAATACCTACGGCCTCACCAATATCAGCTATTTTATTATATGCTAAATTCCATCCATAACAAAGCTGACAAACACCCTGTTTTGATTCACAAGTTAAAGGAGAACGAATAAATACTTCCTTAATTCCAAGTGCTACAATTTTTTCAGCTAACTTAGGTGAAATATCTTGGTTATAATTTGCTATAATTTCCTGAGTATAAACATCATATATTTGTTCTGCTAAAACTCTTCCTATTAATCTCTTTTCAAGTGGAATAATTACTCTATCATTATCTTTTAAATCTGTTAAATATATGCCTTGTTTCGTGCCACAATCCCGGGACTTAATAATATAATCTTGCGCTACATCAACTAATCTTCTCGTCAAATAACCAGAATCAGCTGTTCTAAGTGCTATATCTACTATACCTTTACGAGCTCCATATGAAGATATAATATATTCTGTAGAATTTAATCCCTCTCTAAAATTACTCTTAATTGGTAAATCAATAATTTGACCTTGAGGATCTGCCATTAAACCACGCATTCCTACTAATTGTCTAACTTGTGAAATGTTACCTCTAGCACCAGAAAAAGCCATCATATAAATAGGATTCAAGGGGTCTCTATGAATAAAATAATTAACTAACTCATTTTTTAAGTCTTCACTAGCGTTATTCCATGTATCAACTACTTTTTGTAATCTTTCTACAATAGTAATTTCACCCCTAAGATATTTATTTTCTGTCTGTTGAATTTGATAATCAGTATTATCAATTAATTCCCTTTTTAATACTGGAACTTTTAGGTCTTCTAGGCTTAAAGATAAGCCCGCTTTAGTAGCATAATGAAATCCTAATGTTTTTAACTCATCTGCAACTTTAGTAGCAACTGTTATACCATATTTTTGAAAGAAAAAGGCAATAATTTGTTTCAGTTCATTCTTATTTATTACTCTATTTAAAAATATTAAGTTTCTATCCAGATAAGAAATTATATTATCTGTCATTGCTTATTGATCCTCTATTAAATTTATCATCTTTAAGAATTATTTCGGATACACTATTAGTAATAGTCGTATTAAATAAAATTCTGCCTACAGTAGTACGCACATATTGTATTTTCATTTTATTATCTAAATATTCTTTTACTTGACGATTTGGATAAATATACAAGTAGCAGTTAGAGCTAATTTTCTTCGCTAATATTAAATTCTCTTTAAATTCGTCATCTATTATACCGTCAAACCGTACCCAAATATAGCTATGCAAAGTGATTAAGTTGTTTTCATATGCTATTAAAGCATCATCAAAACTAGCAAAATAATTTTCATTGATATTTTGTGAATAAGGATTATCAGCTGTCAGGTAATAGCAGCCTAAAACCATGTCTTGACTTGGTGTAATTATAGGATCACCTGTTGCAGGCGATAAAAAATTATGTGGTGCAAACATAAGTATTCTTGCCTCAGTTTGAGCTTCAATTGATAAAGGTATATGAACAGCCATTTGATCACCATCAAAATCTGCATTAAATGCAGGACATACTAATGGATGTAATTTAATTGCCCTTCCCTCAACTATTACAGGTTCAAACGCTTGTATTCCTAAACGATGTAATGTTGGTGCTCTATTTAACAAGATAGGATGTCCTTGTATCACTTCTTCTAGAATTTCCATTACTACGTGTTCATTACGTTGTATAAGCTTTTTAGCAGCTTTTATATTATACACTAGTCCTTGATGAATTAAAGCATTAATTATAAATGGTTCAAATAGGATAATTGCCATTTCTTTTGGTAAACCACATTGATAAAGTTTTAATGTGGGATCTACTACAATCACTGATCTTCCCGAATAGTCTACTCGTTTTCCTAATAAATTCTGTCTAAAACGACCTTGTTTACCTTCTAAAATATCAGATAAAGATTTTAGAGGCCTATTATTTGCACCAACAACTGTCTTCCCACGACGGCCATTATCAATTAAAGCATCTACTGATTCTTGTAACATTCTTTTTTCATTTCTAATTATTATTTCTGGTGCTAGAATCTCTTGTAATTTCACTAATCTATTATTACGGTGAATTACTTTTCTGTATAGATCATTTAAATCCGAGCTAGCAAAACGTCCTCCATCTAATTGTATCATTGGTCTTAAATCAGGTGGTAATACTGGTAATACTTCTAATACAGTCCATGCAGGATTTGTTTGAGAGCTTATAAGATTTTGTAAAAGTCTTAGACGTCTTATAGCTTTAGCAAGTTCAAGCTGATCATCAATATAACTAATAGATTTTCTTAATTTTTCCTCTTCTATATCTAAATTTAAATTAGTTAGTAATTTTTTTATTGCTTCAGCTCCAATTCCTATTTCTATTTCAATAGCTTTTTCTGCATCAATTTCTGGAGCCGAAATTTCATCACAAGTTTCATTATTCTCATTAGATTCTAATTCGGAATCCTTTAAATAAATTTTATCTTCTAATTCTTCCCATTCTTTTTCATTTAATAAAGAACGTTCTTCAATTAATCTACCGTTACTTAGTTTTAGTTTTTTATTTTTGATATTTATTACAATATATGAATTGTAATATACAACTTGCTCAATATCTTTTGGTCTCATATCTAAAATTATAGCCAGATAGCTAGGCAAACCTTTTATATACCAAATATGTGTTACAGGAGTAGACAAATTAATATAACCCATTCTATATCTTCTCACTTTAGATTCCGTGACTTCTACTCCACATCTTTCGCAAACTAAATTTTTCGCTCTAAATCTTTTATATTTTCCACAATGACATTCCCAATTTTTAACAGGACCAAAAATTCTTTCACAAAATAATCCTCCCATTTCCGGTTTTAGGGTTTTATAATTAATTGTTTCTGTGCTATTAACTTCTCCCACTATTTGACCATTAGGTAATGCATGTTCTCCTAATTTTAACAGTTTTTCTGGCGGAGCTAGACTTATACTTATATAATCAAATAATTGTTCTATTTTATTCATAATAATTATTAACTTATATAAATTTACTAAAACTTATTGAAAATTTTCTCTGATCTCAAAATTTTTATTATGTATTATACTTTGGTTCTTATTTATTTCTGATTTATACTTAATTTTATTTACCATATCATTACTATTAAGTTTATTATCAGTTGATTGATGAGATAAAATATCTATTTCTGCTTTAGTAGATAAAGATTCTAATTCAGAAGTAATCTTATTTGTGGATATATTTAATCCTAAAGCTTGTAGTTCCCTTATTAAAACTTTAAATGATTCTGGTATTCCTGCTTGTGGTATAGGATTTCCCTTTATCATAGAATGTAGGGCTTCTACTCTGCCATACATATCATCAGATTTTATAGTTAATAATTCTTGTAAAGTATAAGCTGCTCCATATGCCTCTAAAGCCCAAACTTCCATTTCTCCTAGTCTTTGTCCACCATTTTGTGCTCTACCACCCAAAGGTTGTTGTGTTATTAATGCATAAGGCCCTGTAGCTCTTGCATGCATTTTATCATCCACTAAGTGAATTAATTTTAACATATACGCAATTCCGACTGTAACTGGATTATCAAAAGGTTCCCCTGTCCTACCATCAAATAGAGGAATTTTACCTGCAGAATTTTTGTTAAATAACCATTCTAAATCAGAAATTTCCATAGCTTGTTTTAATTTTTTATTAACTACTTTTCTTGATGAGTCTACACCATACATTTCATCAAAAGGCATAACTGTAAATCGTTTATTTAAATAATAACCTGCTAAAGCCAAAAGACATTCAAATAACTGACCTACATTCATTCTTGAAGGCACGCCCAATGGGTTTAAAATAATATCAATAGGAGTACCATCAGGAAGATATGGCATATCTTCTCGTGGTAAAATTCTCGAAATGACACCTTTGTTTCCATGACGACCAGCCATTTTATCACCCACTTGAATTTTTCTTTTCTGAGCAATATATACTTTAACTATAATATTAGTGCTTTCAGTAATATCATTTATTTTACCAAATATTTTGATGTCAACGACCCTACCTCTACTACCATTGGGCATTCTTAATGAGGAATCTCTTACATTGCTTTCTCTATTTTTTGTTCCAAAAATAGCTTTTAATAATCTAGTTTCTGGTAGATTATCTGAATCACCTTTAGGTGTAACCTTGCCCACTAGTATATCACCTGATTCAACCCATGTTCCTATTTTAATAATACCTCTTTCATCTAAATGTTTTAAATTATTTTCTCCTACATTTGGGATATCACGTGTAACTTTTTCTGCTCCTAATTTTGTGATTCGAGCTTCTATTTCATATCGTTCAATATGAATCGATGTATAAATATCATCGTATACTAATCTTTCGCTTATTATAAAAGCATCTTCGTAATTATACCCTTCCCAAGGCATATAAGCTACTAATATATTTTTACCTAATGCTAATGAACCTTTTTCAGTTGCTGAACCATCTGCAATAACTTGACCTACTTTTACTCTTTCACCTGGCCAAACTATTGGCTTTTGGTTAATACAAGTATCTTGATTTGATCTCTGGTATTTTTGTAATATATATTTTTTATACTGATTATTAGAAGTTTTTATTACAATTGTATTGGCTGTAACTTCAGTAACTTCACCATCATCTTCACTTACGATAACCATTCCAGAGTCTCTAGCAATTTGTGTTTCTAGTCCTGTTCCTACTATAGGTCTTTCAGGATATAATAGCGGTACAGCTTGTCGTTGCATATTAGATCCCATTAAGGCTCTGTTCGCGTCATCATGCTCAACAAATGGAATTAATGAAGTTGCTGCTGACAGAATTTGTACAGGAGAAATAGCAATATAATCTACTTCTTCAGGAGAAGCGGTGATAAATTCTTGATAATAGCGAACCGGTATAATATCTCCTTTAATATGTCCATTATCATCGACTAAAATATCTGCTGGTGCAATTTTGAATTCATCTTCTTCTTCAGCATTTAAATATGAAATTGCCTTTTCATAGCATACTCTTCCCTGTTCTACGTTATAAAAAGGAGCTTCTATAAACCCATATTTATTAACTCTAGCATTAAGTGCTAAAGAACCAATTAAACCTGCATTAGTTCCTTCAGGTGTTTCAATTGGACAAATACGACCATAATGGCTTGGATGTATATCTCTAACAACAAACCCAGTATGATCACGATTTAAGCCACCAGGCCCTAATGCACTGATTCTACGTTTATGTGTTAATTCTGCTAGAGGATTAACTTGATCCATAAATTGAGAAAGCTGGCTAGAATTGAAAAATTCCTTTATAGCCATTAATAAGGGTTTACCGTTAACGATAGTTTTTAGAGCAATATCTTCATCATTAGAAGTGGTAATTTTATCTTTAATATTACGTTCAATTCTGCTTAGTCCAATTCTAAATTGATGTTGTAGTAGTTCACCTACAGATCTTATACGTCTGTTAGAAAGATGATCTATATCATCTATTTTACCAATACCAAAAGATAGACCAACTAAATAATCTACAATTGCTAATATATCTTTATTTGTTATTGTTCTTATAGTATCTAAAATATCTAAATTTAGTTTTTTATTTAATTTTATCCTTCCGATTTTACCTAAATCATATTTCTTTCTATCAGCAAATTTATTAATCAAATTTCCTTTCTCATCTTCAAACATCTGCATAGACTGATAGATTTCAATTATTTCTCTTTCTTTAGGCTTGTCATAAAACTTTAAAAGTTTTTCTTCAAAGTATTTAACATGTTTTATATTTTCTAAAATTTCTTTTTTTTTGAAACCTAATGCTTTAAAAAAAGATGCAAGAAATACTTTATTTATTTGATCAAATTTAACCCATACTAGATTATTTTTGTCTAATTCAAATTTTAACCAAGAGCCTCTATGTGGAATTAGAGTTGCACTGTATATAGGGTTATTATACTTATCGTATTCTAGCTTATAATAAATACCAGGACTACGTACTATTTGATTAACTACAACTCTTTCGGAACCATTTATAATGAAAGTTCCTCTATCTGTCATTAGAGGCATTTCTCCTACATCTAAACGAGAATCAATATTCTCTCCTGTTAGATTATTTTTTAAAGTAAAAGGAATATAAAGTTTAGCTCCATAAGTTATTTCTTTGTTTTTAGCCTCTTCTGGTTTGTGTTTTGGGTATTTTAATTTAAAATTTTTTGCTGAGAAATATATTATGAATTTTTTATCAAAATCAATGATAGGGGAAAATTTTTCTATTTCTTCAATTAGACCTTCTTTTAAAAACCAGTAAAAGCTTGTTTTCTGAATTTCTATTAAATCAGTTAAAGCGTATTGATGACGATATTGATTGTGATTTTTGCTTGTTATATCTTTAATCATGAATTTTATTTTGTTTAGTTAAAAATAAAATTAATAATACTAAGTGTATTAATTAGATGATAATAAATCTTGTTTTCTCTTATTAAAGATTCTTATAATTCTTTGTTTTTTTCTCGCACCATTATTTTTATGAATTACTTTTCTTTTGACAGCCTTGTCAATTTTACTATAAGCTATATTAACATTAGGTTCTATATTTGATATATTTTCAATATTAAGCCTGCGAATAGCTGATAAACATTTTTTTATGGCAGTTTTTAGTGTTGACATATATACACGATTTGCTATTTTATTTCTTTGTGTAATTTTTATACGTTTTAATGATGATTTAATCTTAGTCATAGCAGGATTTTTTTTATAAATTTTATATAAATAATATAATATAATTGTATATATTAGCAATAATAATACAATAAAATAATAAAATGATTTAAATTTAATAAATTTATGGCCAAACGTAAAGATATTCGTATTAATATTACTCTAGAATGTACCAAATGTAAATTAAATAATAATAAAATAAAACCTGGTATAATGAGATATACAACTTCTAAAAATAGACGTAATACACCTACTAGATTAGAATTAAATAAATTTTGTCCTAACTGTAATTTACATACTCTATTTAAAGAAATCAAGTAATAGATAAATTAATTTGTATTTATTTTTAAAACCTAAGCAAATAAACATGATTAGATATAATGAAAATAAACTTTCTCCTAGTGATAAGATCATGTATAAAGATCTCGATGTTTTAATAAATTTTATGTCACGACATGGCAGAATCTTACCAAGGCGTTTTACTTGTTTGACTGCTAGACAACAAAAACAATTGAAAAAAGCTATTAAACAAGCACGAATCTTATCATTATTACCTTTCAACGTATAAAAAATAATACTCAAGTTAGAAATAATACATTCTAACTTGAGACACATTCTATAATATCATTTTCTTTCCATGATTGAAAATTTTTACATAAAACACCACATTCTTTTCCTTCATAAATTTCTTCTATATCATTCTTTTCAAATTTTAATGAATCTAACTTACCTTTATATATAATAAGATTATTACGAAAAATTTGTATTTGAGAATTATTTAATAATTTACCCTCTATAACAATACAACCTGCAACTTTACCTTTTGCTAAATTAAATATAGTTTTAACAACAGCTTTGCCAATAACTTCAACTTTAGCTATGTTGCCTTTTAATAAGTCTTGTATTAACTTATTTAAGTCTTCAAATAAATCATAGATGAGATTATAATTTTTTATCACAATTTGTTTCATTTGTGCAATTTTCTGTATAGGTTTCGATATTTTAATATTAAAACCTATTATATAAGCCTTAGTAATAGAAGCTAGGTTAATGTCATTTAAACTTACTTCTCCAATTTCAGCTCTAACAATAGTAATTTTTATATTTCCCTCTACATTATTAATATTTTTTTTTATAACTTCAATAACCGCTTCTACAGAGTCTTGAACATCCGCTTTAATAATCAAGTTGATATCAATAGTTTTTTTATCTATGTTTGAATTGTTATCGCTTTTTATTAAAATTTGTTTAAAATCAGCATGATCCTTTTTATTTTTTAACTCTTCAATTTTAGATTTCGCTTTTTTTTCTGTTTCAACCTTTTCAAACAATTCGCCAGTTTTTACTAATTCTGGCATTCCTAAAATATTTATCAGAGAAACAGCCTCGGATTCAGATATTTTTTCTCCTTTATAATTGAATAAAGATCTAATTTTCCCGAAACCTTGTCCGGCTATAATTATATCACCAACTCTTATTCTACCTTTCTGTAATATTAAATTAGCTCTAGGTACTTTATTTTTATCTAAGTACGTTTCTAGTACTATTCCTTCTGCTTGAGCTCCGGGATTAGTTTTTAAATTTTTTATTTCACTAATTAATAAAATCATATCTAGCAATAGTTCTAGACTTTTTTCATTAAATATACTTACATCTACCCTAGGTATATCACCTCCTAATTCTTCTGCAATTAATCCATATTCTGTTAAATGCTGTAATATCTTAGCAATATTCTTTTTAGCATCTATTTTATCAACTTTTGTAATTACTATTACAATAGAACTTTTACTATTTTTTAATGATTCAATAATTCGAGATGTTTCTTGTTGAATTCCTTCATCGGCAGCTATTATAAGTAATATAATATCGCTTATTTTTAAAACTCTTTTTCTTATAGATTCAAAAGCCTCATGACCAGGTGTGTCTAATAGAATAATTTTTTTATCTTTTGATCCTATCGTAAATTCATGTGCTCCTATGTGTTGAGTAATATGTCCAATTTCATTTTTAGTAAGGTCACTTTTTACTAGGTGTTCTATTAAACTAGTTTTGCCATGATTAACATGCCCTAAGACAGCTACAATGGGTGCACGTGTTTTAAGTTGATTATTATTAATATTTTGTTCATTCTTATTTTCAGTGTTTATATAAATATTGTTTTTTTTATCAATAGTGGTTATATTGATTTTTAATTCTTGACTAATTAAATTTAATAGGTGTAAATCTAAGAATTGATTAATGTTTAATAATTTACCTTTTTTGAATAGAATCTTTAAAAGTTCAGTTGCTTCTACACCTATTTTTAAGGCTAAGTCATTAACTGTAATGTTTTCCTCTACATATATAATATCTGATTGAAAATTTATATTTTCATTTGAATTGTAATAAGCTGTTCGATTTAATATAAATTTATTTTTATTATTATTTAAACGATTTTTTTCTATCGATTTAAAATTGAAATTAGAATTTTTTTTATTTTTAGCCTTGTTATTTTTATTAGCTTTTAATAAATCAGACTTATAATTTTTATTGTTATAATATTCTATAAAATGTTCATCTTCATTACCATTAAATTCAAGATTATTATTAATTTTATTCATAATTTATAATTATACGTTTTTTTTATATACTTAATTTATATTTATAATATGGATATAAGATGTGTTACTTTTATAAGTTAAATTAAATCTATTTTTAGTTAAAGCAAATAAATCTTAATAATCATTTTATTATATAATATACAATAATAAAAATCAAAAGGATCTTAAATATGTCAAGATCTCAAAAAAACGACAATTTTATTGATAAAACCTTTACTATCTTAGCAGATCTTATTCTCAAATTTTTACCCACAAATATAAACGCTAAAAAGGCATTTTCCTATTATAGGGATGGCATGTCTGCACAGTCTGAAGGAGAATATGCAGAAGCCCTAGCTAATTACCATGAAGCTTTGAATTTAGAGGATGACCTATATGATAAAAGTTTTATATTATATAATATTGGACTAATTCACGCAAGCAATGGAGAATATGTAAAAGCACTTGAATATTATCATAAAGCTCTTGAAGCTAATAACAAGCTTCCACAAGCATTAAATAATATTGCCGTTATATATCATTATCAAGCAGTTAAGGCTTCTGAAATTAGTGATTTAGAAACTGCACAAGCTTTATTTCATGAAGCCGCACAATATTGGAAACAAGCTATTAAATTAGCTCCTTCTAATTATATTGAAGCTCAGAATTGGTTATTATCAACTGGTCGTTTATAGAACATTAACAGAAGTTTAATTAATTGTCTATATATATTTATTATTTATAAAAAAAAATTGCTTTATGTCTACTATTACTCAAAACAAAGGCTACATTAGCCAAATTATAGGTCCTGTTATTGACATTGAATTTCCTAATGGGAAACTTCCTAAAATATATAATGCTATTACTATAAATCATAAAAATAAAACAATAACCTGCGAAGTTCAACAATTACTTGGAGATAATAGAGTCAGAGCAGTCGCTATGAATTCAACAGATGGACTACAGAGAGGAATTGAAGCAATTGACACTGGTTCGGCTATCACTGTACCTGTAGGTAAATGTACTTTGGGAAGAATTTTTAATGTATTAGGTGAACCTGTAGATGAATTAGGAGCAATTTTAACAGATACGAAATTACCTATTCATAGATCGTCACCTTTATTTACTCAATTGGAAACTAAACCCTCAATTTTTGAAACTGGTATCAAAGTAATTGATTTATTAGCTCCATATAAACGTGGAGGAAAAATTGGTTTATTTGGTGGTGCTGGTGTGGGAAAAACCGTTTTAATTATGGAGTTAATTAATAATATTGCGAAATCACATGGGGGTGTTTCTGTTTTTGGAGGAGTTGGTGAAAGAACGAGAGAAGGAAATGATTTATATGTGGAAATGAAAGAATCTAAAGTCATTAATGAAAACAATTTAGAAGAATCTAAAGTAGCTTTAGTCTACGGTCAAATGAATGAACCGCCAGGAGCCCGTATGAGAGTAGGTCTAACAGCTCTGACTATGGCTGAATATTTTAGAGATAATAATAAACAAGATGTTTTATTATTTATTGATAATATTTTTAGATTTGTACAAGCAGGGTCAGAAGTATCTGCGCTATTAGGACGTATGCCTTCTGCAGTAGGTTATCAACCTACTTTATCTACTGAAATGGGAGCATTACAAGAAAGAATTACATCAACCAAGGAAGGTTCTATTACATCAATTCAGGCAGTTTATGTTCCTGCAGACGATTTAACAGATCCTGCTCCTGCTACTACTTTCGCACATTTAGATGCAACAACTGTATTATCAAGAGGACTAGCATCTAAAGGTATTTATCCTGCAGTAGATCCTTTAGACTCTACATCTACAATGTTGCAACCACAAATTGTAGGAGATGAGCATTATGCTACAGCTCAGAGAGTAAAAGAAAATTTACAAAGATATAAAGAATTACAAGATATTATTGCAATTCTAGGATTAGATGAACTTTCAGAAGAAGATAGATTAACTGTTGCTAGAGCTAGAAAAATTGAGAGATTTTTATCCCAACCATTTTTTGTAGCTGAAGTATTTACAGGCTCGCCAGGTAAATATGTAAGCTTGAAAGAATCAATTAACGGATTCAAAATGATTTTAAATGGAGAACTAGATGATTTGCCTGAACAAGCTTTTTATTTAGTAGGTAATATTCAGGAAGCAATTAAAAAAGCGGATGAATTAAAGGACAAATAGAAATGGGTTTAAATATTCGTGTTATTGCTCCAGATAGAATTGTTTGGAATGCTAAAGCTGAAGAAATTATTTTACCAACTAGTACGGGACAGTTAGGTATATTAAGTGGACACGCTCCATTATTAAGTGCTTTAGATATTGGTGTAATGAGAGTAAGAATTAAAAATAATTGGACTTCTATTGTTTTATTTGGTGGCTTTGCTGAAGTTGAGAATGATGAAATAATAATTCTAGTTAACGGTGCAGAAGAAGCTTCTGTAATTAATTTGGACAAAGCTAACAAAGATTTGATAGAAAGTTCTTCTCTTCTGAATGAAGCTAAAACTAATAAAGAAAAAATTGAAGCTACTCAAAAACTCAGAAAGGCTAAAGCTAGAGTACAAGCGGCAAATACCTTAACCAATCAATCAATCTATTAATATGTTCAGGTCGTCGTTAAGAAAAAAAAAAGATCGTTCTGAGTCTTACTCAGAACGATCTCTTTTTTTCTTTAACTTAAACCTGAACATATATAATCAAAATATATTCCCATTTCTTTGCCAGCTTCTGATCCTACCAAACTGCTAGTTACTTCCTTCATAGCTTGTATAGATTGAATGGTAGCACCAATAGGTACACCTAAAGAATTATAGGTTTCTTTAAGACCATTTAAGACTCTTTCATCTAAAATTGACGGATCACCAGCTAACATACTATAAGTGGCATATCTCAGATAATAATCTAGGTCTCTTATACATGCTGCATATCTTCTTGTTGTATACATATTACCACCTGGTCTAGTAATATCTGAATACAATAATGATTTAGCTACAGCATCTTTAATTATACCTGCTGCATTAGCAGCTATGGTTGCTGCTGCTCTAACTCTTAGTTCACCTGTTTGAAAATAACCTTTAAGTTTTTCTATAGAACTATTATCTAGATACTTTCCTTGTACATCTGCTGTATTAATAACTGCTGTTATAGCATCTTGCATAAAATCTTCCTTTATTTATTTAGTTCTGATATAGGTTAAGTTTGACGTGATATTTTAAATATTCTAGTCAATTTCTAGAATTTTTTTATTGCATTGCACCAATAGTATAGTCAAAATAAAACCCAGCCTCTGCTGAGTCATCACCCGATAATAATGAGCAAGCAACATTTTTCATTGCTTTAATCCCTTCTGCTACTGCAGATATTGGGGTACCTAAAGAATTATACATTTCTTTTACACCTACTAATCCAATTTCTTCTATAGGTGATATATCTCCTGCAACTACTCCATAAGTCACTAAACGTAAGTAATAGTCTAAGTCTCTCAAACATGTAGCAGTCATTTCTTCTCCATAGGCATTACCACCTGGAGATACTATATCTGGTCTTTGCTGAAATAGTTGTTGGCCAGCTTGTTTTACTATTCTTTCTCTATTATCTGTCAAAATTTGTGCAATTCTTAATCTACGTTGTCCTGAAAGAACAAAACTTTTAATTCTATCTAATTCACCAGGGCTTAAATATCTTGCTTCTGCATCTGCATTTACTATCGATTTTGTCACAATACTCATTTAGTAAACTCCTAGTCAAAGCTTTTCTATTTTTTATTTAATAGATATCTTATAAGAACAGAAAATTATTATCAGTATAGTAGGAGAATATAATCAAAATTCTCCTTGTAAAAAAGGGTATGTCTGAATAATTACTATAGTTAATAAGTTCATTAACTATAGTAATTATTCAGACATACCCTTTTTTACAAGGAGAATTTTGATTATATTCTCCTACTATACTGATAATAATTTTCTGTTCTTATAACTTGGCATAACCATGAAAAATTTCTGTTTTGTAAGATTATTGTATAAAATTTCAGTATTAGGAAAAGTTCCAGCAGGTAAGGTTGGAAATCTTCTATAAGGAACAATATTATCACCAAAAACTTCAATATATTCTTGACTGTTGATTAAATTATCAACAAAAAACTTTAATCCTTGAGAAGCTAGAATTTGATTATAAAACCTAATTTCTCCTTGATCTTTTGGTGCTCTACCTAGAAAGTGTTTAGTGCCCAATTCAATAACTTTCGTATTAGGATAAGGTTCAAAAAATTCTTTTCTATATAATTCAGATTGACCTAAATGTTGAACAAATTCTTTCACAGTCAAAGAGCCAGTATAAAATAAATTCTCTAGCAAGTAAAATTCTCTGCCTATACTATAAGGATCAATATCACGTTCAAAAACTTGTCGATATGCTGCCTTAATTAGTTGCTCCAAAGAAGATTGATTATTATTACTATGACGAGCAAAAATTACTGTTTGTTCTCTTCGTTTAGAAACTCCCTGCTTTAATTTCATAGTAATATTATTTTTGCTTCTGATTTCTTTTACTGTACCTAATTCAACAAAATTTTTATCTATAGTTGAATGAGATTTTTTAAATTTTTCTTTTATAGAATGTACTCTTAATGTACCTAAACTTAAATTATATGGAGTTAAATACCTCTCATAAGGAATTATATTATCTCCAAATACTTGATTATATTCTTCAGAATCTATTATTGCATCAATTAATTTGTAAAACCCGCCTTGAGATGCTAGGTTAAAATAATTATTTATTTCTTTACGTCCATATGTAGGGCGTCCCAATAATCTGATATGTATATACTCAATAGATTTACATATGTATAATGGTGTCCAATAGAGTTTTCTAAACAAATCCGACTTGCTTAAAGCTCTGATTAATTCTTTAATCGATATAGATTTATCTCTAAACTGATTTTCTATAGGTTGTAAATTTAGTTTTTCTTCAGTATACGGATCACGGCCAAAAACTCTCAAATAACATGCTCTAATAACACTTTCAATACTATTATCTGAGTGCTTAATAATTTGTAAATTATATGAATTTAATTCTTTGTATCCATTAAGTTTTAAAGGCCTACTTAATTGATTTTCAATAGCAGCTCCCTTATATATTAAAATCCTACGTACATCTTTATTAACAAAGGCTGTACTTGTTTTTTTGGAAAAAATAGCTCCAAATTGAATACCTAATGGATCATTGGAATTACCATAGGGATGTTGGTCAGGTAAAGGTGTTTCATAATCTTTAAATAATGTAATAAACTGAGGTTTCTTTTGAAAACGTGCACTATAATTAAATAATTTGATTTGAACTCCCCAATTTCTACATTCTTGAGCTTCTTCTCCTAAACTTCTTAAGTAAGGTACAGTTTCTTCACCAAAATAATCACTATATTCTTTAGAATTAATTAGACTATCAACCATCCCACCTAAACCTTCTTGTGAGACAATAGCAAAATATTTTTGAAACTCTTCTAACGAACTTATACCCCTACCTAATAAATGTCTAAAAGCTAACTCAACTGCTCTACTGTTAACAAAAGGGTCAAAAAATTCCTTTCTATATAATGAAGATTTTCCTAGGGCTCTAATAAACTCTTTCATTGAAATTTGACCAATTTTAACTCTAGATTCCATTTTACTTAAGGATAAACTATAAGCTTTAACGATATCACGCTCAAAAACTTGACGGTATGCTGCTCTAACTATTGCATTTTTTTCTTCTGCAGATAGATTAGGTTTCATTACATATTTAAATTGTGTTGAACTAGATAAAAAGTAAGTTTGTGGTAATCTTAGGCCTTGCAGATCAGCAGAATCTCTTTTCCTAATTCTATCACTCAAAGATGGTGCTTCAAATTCTTGGATAATAACATTAAAATATTGATTAATTATAGATTCTGCTTCTGGATTAGAAGAAAAAAGTTTTATACAAGTACGTTTCATTGTTCTTAGTGCGACAATAGTAGCAGCAGTTGAACAGGCATTTTCGATAATTTCTCTCAAACCTTTTATATTTACTGCTAAAATATTAGGATCGCCTATAACTATCGCATAGCTTAAATAACGTAAAAACCAATCTAAATCTCTTAAAGATTTACGCATTTTATTAGAACCATATTTTACTATACTAATTGGTTTAAAGCCAGCGGGAATACTATCTTCATTACTAAATAGGTTTTTAAAAATATTAGAAAAAACAAATTTAGTATTTTTAGTATTAATAGTAGTAATATCTATTGATTCTTCAGGTTTTTCTAAATAAGACAATGGTGAACCACCAACAAATATTCTATTACTGGCAGCATTGACAATGTTAGTAGAGTTTTTACTTAAAGTTTCAGCAATTTCTAATCTTAATACTCCACTTTTCATATAGCTTAGTAATTGGTTTAATTCTGTTGGCTGTAAAAATCTATCCTGTTGTTCTGCTTGAAGAATACTTTGAATGGGTGTAGTTTTATATAACTGTGTATTAATTGATACCAAACCACTAGTTTTTCTTGTTGTCATCGCATGTTACCTCTTTATTTTTATATCTTATGACCATTCTAATTCAACATTGACTACATTTGATTCTTTTCTATTTATATTCTTATAATTGAATATTAATATTTTAATATTAATATTCTTAATTGAATTTTAAATATGATTTAATTTACATATATTTTATAAAAAAATGAAGATGATAAATGATAAGGAAATGCCACTAGCAGAACACTTCTTAGAACTAAGAGAAAGATTATTAAAATCATTGATATTTATACTAGTTAGTATAGTAACTGTATTCTTTAATATTCAATACATTATCAAAATAATACAAAAACCTGCAGAGGGAATTAAATTTATACAATTAGCTCCTGGTGAATATTTTTTTTCTACAGTAAAAATTAGTATATATTTAGGATTGATAATAAGTATTCCATATATATTATACGAAATACTACAATTTACTATTCCTGCTATGACTATAAAAGAAAAACGCTTAATTTTACCTATGAGCATTATTTCAGCAATTCTATTTTTTGGTGGTATAATATTTGCATATTTTATCTTATTATCTCCGGCTTTAAGATTTTTTATTTCTTATGGAGCCAATATTATTGAACCTATTTGGTCCTTTGAATATTACTTTAATTTTGTAATTTTATTGTTGTTAGTCACAGGTATTGCCTTCCAAATACCGATTTTTGAAATTATATTGGCTATATTTGGATTATTATCATCTAGTCAATTGATTTCCTATTGGAGGTATGTTATATTTTTAACAACAATTATATCTGCAGTCTTGACTCCATCAACAGATCCTTTAACACAGATATTAATGAGTATAGCAATATTTTTTCTGTACTTTCTGGGAATAATTGTCCTAAAATGTATGAATAAATAATTCTCTTTTTATGTTATACTATATAACATATAAAGAACAATATTATTATTTTTTTTAGACTTAAAATGAAATGATGTACATACTACCAAATATTAAATTTAACAACTACATAAAAAAAATAATTATTAGTTTAATAAAATTATCCGCTATAGTAATAATATTATTGAAATTCTCAAACTCTATTGTTAATGCTTATCCTATTTATGCCCAACAAGCTTATGAAAATCCAAGAGAAGCTACAGGAAGAATTGTATGTGCTAATTGTCACTTAGCTCAAAAAGATATACAGCTTAATATCCCTAAATCTGTTTTACCTAACTCCGTTTTTGAAGCTGTTGTTAAAATTCCTTATCCTAATAATGCTCAACAAATATTAGCTAATGCTAATAAAGGACCTTTGAATGTAGGCGCTATATTAATTTTACCAGAAGGATTTTCACTTGCTCCTACAAGTCGATTATCTGAAGAACAGAAGGCAATAGCTAAAATTACTCCTATCCAAACTTATAATAATCAGCACAAAAATATACTCGTAGTAGGACCTTTACCTGGTGATAAACATAAGGAAATAAGTTTTCCGATCTTATCACCGGATCCTCAATCTAATAAGCAAATACATTTCATTAAATACCCTATATATGCAGGAGGAAATAGAGGAAGGGGACAACTCTATCCTAATGGTGAAAAAAGTAATAATGCGTTATACACATCACCTGTAGATGGTAAAATCATTCAAATCAATAAAGAAGAAAATAATTCGACTAAAATTGTAATTGAGACGAATAGTAAGAATACTGTAACAGAAAAATTACCTTCAGGTATTGAACTAATTGTTAAAGAGGGACAAATGGTAAAAATAGATCAAGTTCTCAATAAAGATTTAAATGTAGGGGGATTTGGACAAATTGAAAGTGAATTTGTTTTACAAAATCCAGAAAGAATAAAAGGTATGATTTTATTCTTCTTTTCGGTAACCTTAACACAAATTTTATTAATTTTAAAGAAAAAACAATTTGAAAAAGTACAGGCCAAGCAATTAAATATTTAGTAAAAATAAAACACATAACCAATATGGTTATGTGTTTTGTTTTTACTAAATATTTAATTGCTTGATTATAGAATTTATAATCTGTTCTGAATGTACTATTGTATGTTGTTCCAAAAGACCATTATAAGGTGTAGGGATATCCTGTGATGACAATCTAATAATTGGCGAATCTAGATAATCGAAAATCAACTCATTAACTCGAGCTATTATTTCAGCTGCTATACCACCAGTTTTCATACATTCTTCAACAATACATGCTTTATGAGTTTTTTGAATTGATCTAATAATTGTATCTATATCGATAGGTTTGAGAGATATTAAATCTATAACTTCAGGATCAATATTCTTCTCAATTAATCTATCAACAGCTTTTAATACGTGATACCTCATTCTTGAATAGGTGATAATAGTTATGTCTTTTCCTTCTCTTACTATTTCAGCTTTGTCTAAAGGTAATGTATATTCATAATCTGGTATTTCTTGTTTCATATTATAAAGTAAAACATGCTCAAAAAATAATACTGGGTTATTGTCTCTTATTGCAGACTTTAATAGACCTTTAGCATTATAAGGAGTTGAACAAGCAACAATTTTTAACCCAGGAACAGCTTGAAAATAAGTTTCAAGTCTTTGAGAATGTTCAGCACCAAGTTGACGTCCTACTCCACCCGGACCACGAATTACAATCGGAATTTGATAATTACCTCCAGATGTATATGGAAGCATCCCTGCATTATTAGCTATCTGATTAAATGCAAGAAGTAAAAAGCCCATATTCATCCCCTCTACTATAGGTCTAAGACCAGTCATAGCAGCACCAATGGCCATACCTGTAAAACTATTCTCAGCAATAGGTGTATCTAATATTCTTAAATCACCATATTTTAAATGTAAATCTTTAGTAACCTTATATGAGCCGCCATAATGCCCAACATCTTCACCTATTACTAAAACAGTTTCATCTTTATTCATTTCTTCGTCAATTGCTGAACGTAATGCGTCAAACATGAAGATTTTATTCATAGATATTTATATCTGATAGTGGATTATTTCATTATTAAATTTTAATAAAAAAGATATTTAGATAAATCATGTAAATTAGGTTCTGGACTATCAATGGCAAATTTAACTGCTTCCTCAATTCTTAATTTAACTTTTTTTTCAATTTTTTTTATTTCATCATCTGATATTAAATTATGATTTTTTATATAATTCACAAAATTTATTATAGGATCTCTAGCTATCCAAAAATTTTTTTCTTCTATAGATCTTAATTCATCTGGGTCGGCAAGAGAATGTCCTCTAAAACGATAAGTTAAGGCTTCAATTAAAGTAGGTCCTTGTCCACTCCTAGCTCTAGCAATAGCTTCTCTAGATATTTTAATAACTTCCAATATATTCATACCATCTACTTCTACACCAGGTATATTAAAAGCATCTGCCTTTTTATATATTTCCTGGACTGAAGACGCTCTTTGATTTGCCATTCCAATAGCCCATTGATTATTTTCTACTACAAAAATAATAGGTAATTTCCATAAAGATGCCATATTTAAGCATTCAAAAAATTGACCGTTATTAGTAGCACCATCACCAATAAAACATATACTAACAGGCAAATCATCTATCTTATGTAAGATTTGTTTCTGATAAATATTACGAAATGCAGCCCCTAAAGCTATTGGTATTCCTTCTGCAATAAAGGCAAAGCCTCCTAAAAAATTGTATTTTGAAGAGAATATATGCATAGAACCTCCACGCCCTTTACTACAACCTGTTTCTTTACCGAAAAGCTCAGCCATAAGTTCTTTTGGAGGAATACCCTTACTTAAAGCATGTACATGGTCTCTATAATTAGAACATACATAATCATATGGTTTTAAATTCTTAATAATACCTGTTGATACTGCCTCTTGACCTGTATAAAGGTGTACAAATCCAAACATTTTGCCTTGGTAATACATTTTTGCACATGTATCTTCAAAGATTCTTCCTAAAAACATATCTTCATAAAATATTTTGGCTTCCTCATTAGTAATCAGAGCATTACTAGTTATTGTAGATTTTTGCAACATGAATAAGACCTATATAAAAAATTTTCGCTTTTTATTATACTGATATAAGTTTGAGTTATATTATATTATTAACTAATAAAGTCAATTATAATTCATGATAGAAACATTTCAACTTATAGAACAAGAATTAAATTTGTTAGAAATTAATTTAAAAAAACTTGTTAAGTCAAAACATGCAATACTAGATGTAGCAGCTGAACACTTATTTAGTGCTGGGGGAAAAAGACTACGTCCAGCTATTGTTTTTTTAGTTGCTAAAGCAACCAAAAAAGAAAAATCAATTAAATTTTTTCATAGAAGACTTGCAGAAATTACTGAAATTATTCATACTGCTAGTTTAGTTCATGATGATGTAGTTGATGAATGTTCGGTTCGTAGAGGTGTACAAACTGTTCATACAAGTTTCAGTGTTCCTATAGCCGTGCTGGCAGGAGATTTTTTATTTGGCCAATCATCATGGTATTTAGCCAATTTAAATGATTTAGAAGTTGTAAAGATTATTTCTAAAGTGATTACTGATTTTGCCGAAGGTGAAATTAGACAAGGAATATCAAAGTTTAATCTTTACTTATCTGTTGATGAATATATTGAAAAATCATTTTTAAAAACAGCTTCATTAATTGCTTCAAGTTGCAAAGGTTCAGTTATTTTAACTGAAAATAATTATCATATAGCTAATAATTTATATAATTATGGAAAATATTTGGGATTAGCATTTCAAATTGTTGATGATATTTTAGATTTAATTTCAAATGCTGAAGTTATAGGTAAGCCAATAGGTTCTGATTTAAAAAACGGTAATTTAACAGCACCAATTTTATTCTCTTTACCCAATATTAATTTAGTAAATTTCTTATCTAAACTAAAAAAAAAAGAAGCAATAAACTTAAATAATTTAAATTTAGAAATTATTAATCAATCTGGCGGTATTGAAAAGGCTGTAGATTTAGCATCTGAATATATTTATACTTCGGTAAGATGTTTAAATTGCTTACAAGATTCTGAATATAAACAATCTTTAATTACTTTATGTAATTCTATCATATCTAAAATTAAATAATAAAAATAATATTTATTTTTTTATTTTTTCTATTAAACAATCAAAAGTTTCATTATCTATTACAGCTAATTGTGATATTACTTTTCTGTTGAGTGCTATATTTTGTCTCTTTAACATAGCAATAAAATTGTTGTATTTTAAATTTTTTTGCCGAAGAGCTGCATTAATTCTAATAATCCATAAACTTCTAAAATTTCTTTTTTTTAGTTTTCGCCCCGTATAAGCATATTTAAGAGCTTTCATAACTTGTTGATTAGCTATTCTAAATAGTTTAGAATGACTTCCCCTATACCCTTTCGCTAATCTTAAAATTTTTTTTCTCCTTTTAATAGCAACATTTCCTCTTTTAACTCTAGTCATTATTTTAATATATCCCTATTTTTATATTTATTAATATGCATTTATTTAATAATAAATATTAAATATATGGCAATAATTTATTAATTTGTGTTTTATTAATATATTCATTAATTATTACTTTAGCAGATAAATGTCTTTTTCTTTTTTTATTCTTTTTACTTAATAGATGATTTTTTCCAACTTTATAATGCAATATTTTTTTGTTGCCTGTTATAGTAAATCTCTTCAAAGCTGAACGTAAAGTTTTAAGTTTTTTTTTCATTTTGATTATTATTGTTTATATGCTTATAGTTTTATTAAATTGACTTAATCACATTTAAAGTGAAGTTAGTATCAATTGATTTTAAAAAAAACAGTTTAATAAAATCAATCAATAATAATATTATAAATGGGATTTTCTGTATATTTTTATATATTTTGTTATTAGATTTTTTTTCAATTTCCATTATTTTTCTATTGTAACGAGCGCAATTATCAAAGTATTTAAAGAACTTGCCATTATTAAGGTCCAATGAGACCGGAAAAACTCTAGCAGCACTTTCATTTGTTTTTCTAATAACCTGTATATCAAATTGGCGTGCATCAATCCCTAATGACCTGTAAAAATCACTTCTTTGGAGATCATTTAAATACATCGTTAAAAACACGCTTAATAAAAAAAACTTACACCATAATTTAGACTGGAATGTTTTTAACATCTTTGGTTGTGAATATAATAAAATAGCAAAAAAATCACCATGCCGATTTTCATCTTGGCACCAACTTTCAAAAAATTTAAAAATAGGATAAATTCTGTATTCCGGATATTTTTCTAAATGTCTATATATGGTTATATATCTCCAATAACCTATTTTTTCTGATAAAAATGTAGCATAAAATATAAACTTGGGACTAAAAAAGGTGTATTTTCTGCTTTTAGTTAAAAATCCTAAGTCAAGAGATAGATTGAAATCTGCCATTGCTTTGTTTAGGAAGCCAGCATGACGAGCTTCATCTCTTGACATCATCTCAAAACAATTGGCTAATATTGAATTAGTATTTTTTAAGCGTCTTGAAAGTTCCTTATATAATAAAAAACCTGAAAACTCTGCTGTACATGATCTTTCTAAAAATTCTATAAATAAATTTTTTGTTTTTTCATCTAAATTATTCCAATTTTTATCAAATTCTTTATCTCGTACAAAATGATTACGATTATAATCATTACGAAATTCCTTTAAAATAGCTTTTAATTCAGGTAAAGACTTTGATATATCCATTAAAGCAATCTCTTCAAAATTTGTTGTGTAAAATCTAGGTGTTAATAAAGATTCCTTTGCTGGTGTTTTTATTTTTGTGTCAATATTCTCTAATGCATTTGTCATATTGTTTGCCTAGTAATTATTGAAAAAATATTAATACATATTTAAGTATAATTATAATAACAAATTATTATATAATAATTTGTTATTATAATTTATCACTTTAATAATAAAACTATTCCTATAGTGAAAAATAGAGTGGATAAAAGAGTTAATATACCGTGTATTAAAATTTTTCTTATTTTATATAGATAAAGATTTTTTTTCATAATGTATATAAAGGAATTAAATATGAATATTATAGATCTAGGATGGGCATCTTTAATGGCTATGTTTAGCTTTTCTATAGCACTAGTAATATGGGGCAGAAATGGATTTTAAATTTTATATTAGATTTATTATTAGGAAAAAATATTATGATTATAGACAATGAGATTTTAAATATTACCCTCTTAATGACTGTATTGACAATGATAGGTCTATTTTTAGGATTTGTTTTACTTAAATTGCAAAGTGAATAAAGATATTTAATTTGAATTAAAGACGTATGATATTAATGAAATTTAAAGAAATTCTGCTTTTGATTTTGCTTTTTAGTAGTATTTTGTTAATGATTATTATTTTAATTTCTAATCCTAAAGCTAATGCTTTAGGTTTAGGCTCTACCATACCTACACAAAGGACTTTGGATAGGTTAACATGGAACTTAATAATTATATTTTTTATACTGACAGCATTAATTAGTCATATAACTAAAATTTCATATTAACTTTTAACTATAGATTATGTTATTTTTATGCCAGATTAAATCTCCTGTACCTATTAATCAGCAACCTTTAGAAGAATATAATGTATTAATTAAGTCACAATATGTATTCTGGGTTTTACTTTTAATTAATACAATCAATAAACAAAAATGTATACATTTTTGTTTATTGATTGTATTAATTAATTCTCTTTCTTGTATAATTTCTCAAAATTTAAATTTAGATTTTTTTTTAAAATTTCTATATCTGATTATTATTACTTTATCAGCTTTACTAATAATAACTTTAAAATTATATTTAGATTTCTCTTACATTGGTAAGAGATTAATTAGTGCCATTATCGATTATGAAGAATCAGGATGGTATAATGGTCAAAAATGGGTTAAAAATCACAAATCCTTAATGAAAGAAAGAATAATTGGTATATATAAAATACAGCCTATTATTGATAAAATTAAAATATTACTTACAACTTTAAGTTTAACTATTAGTGCTTTATTCTTTGTTAAAATTATATATTATAATTTATATTGATTAATAATGAATATAAAAACAACAACGCGAACGAAAGCAGTCTAGCTCGTCGGGCTCATATAATGGTTTATTAATAACTTATAAAAATCAATAAATTTTAATAGTATGAATGACACTTTAAATTTAAAAATGCCATCTCCTTCTTTTGGAGGAAGTACAGGAGGCTGGTTAAGATCAGCAGAAAATGAAGAAAAGTACGCTATTACTTGGATTAGTAAAAATGAAGAGGTATTTGAAATGCCTACTGCTGGAGCAGCACTTATGAGGTCTGGAGAAAACTTATTATATTTTGCGCGTAAAGAACAATGTTTATCATTAGGTACCCAGTTAAAAACTCAATTTAAAATCGATAATTATAAAATATATAGAGTCTTTCCTAATGGTGAAATACAATATTTACATCCAAAAGATGGTGTGTTTCCTGAAAAAGTAAATGAGGGTCGTAAAGCAATTAATACACTTACTCGTTCGATAGGAAAAAATCCTGATCCTGTAGTTGTTAAATTTATTAATAAACAAACTTTTGAATAAGTCATAAGATAACATATATATGTTATCTTATAAGGAGAGGTGGCCGAGTGGTTGAAGGCTTCTGATTTGAAATCAGACGAATTTTTATAAATTCCATGGGTTCGAATCCCATCCTCTCTTATTATTATAAGTATTATAAAAGTTTTATAGCGGGTAACGCGATTTGAACGCGCGACATCAACCTTGGCAAGGTTGCGCTCTACCGCTGAGCTATACCCGCATTTCATATCATATGTTACTTTATATGATAATAATACAATATAAAGAATGAGTACAAAAATATATTTTGTACTCATTCTTTATATTACAAAAGAATTAATTATTCCTGTAAGTAAAAGTAAACTTGTCCAAAGACCTGCACCTAAATAAATTAAATTTTTGGATTGCTCCCAATCCCTTGAAGATCCTAAAATAACGGGTATAGCAACTATCATTACAAATGATAAAATTACTAAACTCAATACTAATAGTTGAAGAATAATAATCATAGATTGATTACTCCTGAATATAAGAATATAATAATTATTACTTGCATAATATTATATAAATTTTTATTTCTTATTATTTAAGAAATAAAAATTTATATAATATTGTATATTAAAATTTATAAAAGGAGAAAATTAAAACTATGGAATTAGTCTTACTTATAGGTAAACTTCCAGAAGCTTATACAATTTTTAAACCAATAATAGATCTATTACCAATAATTCCAATTTTATTTTTATTATTAGCATTTGTATGGCAAGCTGCAATTGGCTTTAGATAATTAAAATGGAGATATATCATGGTTGAAACTTTATTATCAGGGATTGTTTTGGGATTAATTTTTATTACTTTATCAGGTTTATTTATTGCTGCTTATTTACAATATAAGAGAAGTAGTGAATTTTGAATATTGAAAAATTTCCCACTTCTCTTATATTGTAAATAAGCAGCAATAAATAAACCTGATAAAGTAATAAAAATTAATCCCAAAACAATCCCTGATAATAAAGTTTCAACCATGATATATCTCCATTTTAATTATCTAAAGCCAATTGCAGCTTGCCATACAAATGCTAATAATAAAAATAAAATTGGAATTATTGGTAATAGATCTATTATTGGTTTAAAAATTGTATAAGCTTCTGGAAGTTTACCTATAAGTAAGACTAATTCCATAGTTTTAATTTTCTCCTTTTATAAATTTTAATATC